AATATGTAAATAATTCAGCATGGGTGCCAACAGTGAGTCAAGTACTTTTTCAACGTGTGTCTGTCAAGCATAACAGAAAGGCAAATTCAGGCTTGATGCAAGTTTCGCTATACCATATATACTTGTGTACAAGTCTAGAAATTTTAGTAAAATCAATCCCACAAAACCTTAGGTCAAGGTATCCATTAGACTTGGGCCTGAATCACTGTTAATGAAAAAAAACAACACCGAAATACAACACCGTCTGAGCTCTGCGAGCGCAGCATTTTTCTGAATGAAGCAGAGAGTGTTTGAGGACTGGGACATCCGTAGGGATACCAAGGTGCTTGTTTATAAAGCTATTGTCCTCCCAACCCTGCTATACGCCTGTGAGACATGGACTGTCTACAGACGTCACATGCAACTCCTGGAACGATTCCATCAGTGCCGCCTCCGGAAAATCCTGCAAATCTCTTGGGAAGACAGGCGGACAAATGTTAGCGTGCCGAAAGAAGCAAAGACCACCAGCATTGAAGCGATGGTCCTCCGCCATCAACTCCGCTGGACTGGCCACGTTGTCCGGATGCCCGACCACCGTCTCCCAAAGCAGTTGCTCTACTCCGAACTCAAGAACGGAAAAATGTTGGTGGGCAGGAAAAGAGATTGAAAGATGGGCTCAAAGCCAACCTTAAAAACTCTGGCATAGACACTGAGAACTGGGAAGCCCTGGCCCTTGAGCGCTCCAGCTGGAGGTCAGCTGTGACCAGCAGTGCTGCAGAATTTGAAGAGGCACAAATGGAGGGCGAAAGAGAGAAGCGTGCCAAGAGGGAGGCGCATCAAGCCAACCCCGACCGAGACCGCCTTCCATCTGGAAACCAATGCCCTCACTGTGGAAGAAGATGCAGAGCAAGAATAGGGCTCCACAGCCACATATGGACCCACAAGAATATTGAAAGACAATCCTCCTCGGAAAACGAGGGATCGCCTAAGTAATGAAAAAAAATTGTAGCTTTCGGAGGGTCGTTCTCGTTAAATTTCCGAAAACAGAAAGGGGAAGAGAGAGACAAAATAACCAGTGAAATGGATTCAGATGATATTTTCGGAAAGAGTTAAGTCCACAAAATACCTGAGGCAGGGGGATCTGCGGTGTCTTTTTCTCTCTCTAGAAGAAGCCTCCTCCATTTTTCCTCGGAAAATTCCCTCCTCCTCCAGAGAGGGCCCTGGGAACTCACTAGCATAGGGTGGCCATTAAACAATTCCTCTCGGAGCATGATGGACATTGAAGTTTTTCTCTCTGTGGGTCTCTTGGCCAAAAAAAGCCTGGTGGTGCCCATGCTCTGATTGATGAGAATTTTAAGTTTTAACCATAACATTTTAACCAAATGTTATGGTTAAAACTTAAAATAATTCTAAAAAATCAGTACTGTTTTGAAACTTGGCAGGCCTGCAATTGTAAATGGGGTCGACAACTAAGGTAGGTTTTGTGCAGAATGTTGTGCCTCAGCTGGAACCACAGACACACACTGATAGTGTTGTGACTCAGATGGGGTCTCAGAGTGACTCTGACGAGGATGATGGGATTCAGGTTCACAATCAAGGTCAAAATGTTCCTGTTGTAGACAATGAGGAACAAGGTGTGTAAGTTCAGTTTCCCACACAGGGAATGAGGTTTCTGATACTGAAACTAGCCAGGTGCAAATTGACTCAGAAAAGGAGGACAATTCACAGCCTGATAGTAGGCAGGAAGGCAACCAGACCCTAACAAGCAGCCTGACCTTGATGAAACGGGAATCTTAGATCGGGCGGACCGTTTGGAATTCAGAGTCCAAAGGAGTGTGAGAATAGCCAACAAGAAGGAGGTCAGAGGCCAAAGAAATGCTTTCATGTATTACAAAGGGTAGAATAATAGAATCATAGAATCAAAGAGTTGGAAGAGACCTCATGGGCCATCCAGTCCAACCCCATTCTGCCAAGAAGCAGGAATATTGCATTCAAATCACCCCTGACAGATGGCCATCCAGCCTCTGCTTAAAAGCTTCCAAAGAAGGAGCCTCCACCACACTCCGGGGCAGAGAGTTCCACTGCTGAACAGCTCTCAGTCAGGAAGTTCTTCCTAATGTTCAGATGGAATCTCCTTTCTTGTAGTTTGAAGCCATTGTTCCGCGTCCTAGTCTCCAGGGAAGCAGAAAACAAGCTTGCTCCCTCCTCCCTATGACTTCCTCTCACATATTTATACATGGCCATCATATCTCCTCTCAGCCTTCTCTTCTTCAGGCTAAACATGCCCAGCTCCTTAAGCCGCTCCTCATAGGGCTTGTTCTGATCATTTTAGTCGCCCTCCTCTGGACACATTCCAGCTTGTCAATATCTCTCTTGAATTGTGGTGCCCAGAATTGGACACAATATTCCAGGTGTGGTCTAACCAAGGTGGAATAGAGCATGGGGAGCATTACTTCCCTAGATCTAGACACTATGCTCCTATTGATGCAGGCCAAAATCCCATTGGCTTTTTTTGCCGCCACATCACATTGTTGGCTCATGTTTAACTTGTTGTCCACGAGGACTCCAAGATCTTTTTCACATGTACTGCTCTCGAGCCAGGCATTGTCCCCCATTCTGTATCTTTGCATTTCGTTTTTTCTGCCTAAGTGGAGTATCTTCCATTTGTCACTGTTGAACTTCATTTTGTTAGTTTTGGCCCATCATCTCTCTAATCTGTCAAGATCGTTTTGAATTCTGCTCCTGTCCTCTGGAGTATTGGCTATCCCTCCCAATTTGGTGTCATCTGCAAACTTGATGATCATGCCTTCTAGCCCTTCATCTAAGTCATTAATAAAGAAGTTGAACAGGACCGGGCCCAGGACGGAACCCTGCGGCACTCCTTGTCACTTCTTTCCAGGATGAAGAGGAAGCACTGGTGAGCACCCTCTGGGTTCGTCCATTTAACCAATTACAGAATCTTCTCGCTCAACCAAGCAGCTTGTGCTCCATGGTCTTGGGATTTTGTCATGTTCTCATGGGACTTTGTTTCGTTGGTGCCATTTGGAATTCTGCTTTACAGTGCTATGTTTTATTGATCTTTGGAACACTACTTGCTTTTTAAACTTTTCATCTTTACTTTTTAATAAACTACAAAAACTTCCGTTTGTGTGCAGTTCTGGTGATTTTATCAAGGTGAATCTATTCTGAGATGGGCCTTAAAATGGCTGAGGATTGAGCCGTTAAGGTTTCCCATTGTAGCCAATGGGTCAAATCTCTGCTGAATGAAACGGAAAACAGCTCTCCCCTTTTGGTTAACTTTCTGGTAAATGAAATGAGGAGTCAGACAAAAACGGACCCCAAAATGGTATGCCTTCTGGCCCAAATGCACATGCCTAATATTCATGAGTCATTATCCAGCCTGTGCCTTATCTCTTATCACAAACTCTACTCTCTGAAAAGAACAGAGCATTGATGATGATGATGTATTTATTTATCGTGTCATCAGCAACCATTGTATTACAATTCTAACAGAGCAAAACAAACACACAGATTAAAAAGGAAAAGGGAAAAAACACACAGATTTTGCAAATTTGGTATTTGGTTAAATGTCCTTTGACCAGTATCTGGCCACTTGGAGTGCCTCTGGTGTTGCCGCAAGAAGGTCCTCCATTGTGCATGTGGCAGGGCTCAGGGTGCATTGCAGCAGGTGGTCAGTGGTTTGTTCTTCTCCGCACTCGCATGCCGAGGATTTCACCCTGTAGCCCCATTTCTTAAGATTGGCTCTGCATCTCGTGGTGCCAGAGCGCAGTCTGTTCAGCGCCTTCCAAGTCGCCCAGTCTTCTGTGTGCCCCAGGGGGAGTCTCTCATCTGGTATCACCCATGGATTGAGGTGCTGGGTTTGAGCCTGCCACTTTTGGACTCTCGCTTGCTGAGGTGTTCCAGCGAGTGTCTCTGTAGATCTTAGAAAACTATGTCTAGATTTAAGTCGTTGATGTGTTGGCTGACACTCAAACAGGGGATGAGCTGGAGATGTCTCTGCCTTGATCCTTTCACTATTGGCTGCACCGGCGGATGTCAGGTGGTGCAATACCGGCTAAGCAGTGTAATTTCATGATGATGATGATGATGATGATGATGATAACTATATTTTTGTATCCCGCTACCATCTCCCTAATGGACTTGAGGTGGCTTACACGGGGACAAGCCCAGTCAAACACAGACTTAAATCATAGATACACCATCTCAGGTGCACCTAAAAGAAGCGCACATGAGGTAAGTCCATAGGCTATAAGACATGGAAGTTCTTCAGAGCTCCATACCTGCAGAATATGGGTTTGGACACTGAGTCATATACAGCCTCCAGGTGAGTTTGGGCTGTAATTCTGATAAGGATGTCATTCATCATGTTGGCCAATACTGGGAGGTTATGTGAGTCTCATCCAGCTGTAGCTTTGCTCCTCCTTCAGCCTCTTTGTAGGAAGACGGGAGTGAGAAAACTGTGCACTGAACTCCAGCTCTGAGGAGCTCTTGGACTCCAAGAACATGGATTTCTTCTAAATACCAGTAAAGTCCACCTCACTTCTCCCTCATGGGAAGCTTGCATATAGTAATGCTCAGGAGACCTACTTGTGAAAGTAAGGGACCCTTGTAGGAGTTATTTAAAACAACTTTCCTAAACTGATATAGAGTGACTCCAGCTTCCCCACTCACTTGGGAGAATCCTGGCTCAACGGCGGAGCAACAGCTGCATGTACATGGGACAGCACTTTATTATTCCCTCAAAATGAAAATCATTTTCCCCCTTCCCAACAGACAAAGCAGCCCACACTTTTCTGAAGAACGTGCCCCACCTTCCATGCAAGATTTCCAAAGCAGGACATAGCCATAAAACTCCCTATAAATCTACTCATCAGCCAAAAGAGCAATAAATAGCAAGGTCAGGTAGAACCAGAGCCAGAAAAATCAAAAAAAGAGTCCTAGCCACAGAAGCCGTAAATTTACTGACCGCTGGAAAAAGGCAAGCGAAGCATTGTACTCACTTCAGAGGGATCCGAGAAACCGTGTTCAGATTGGGAGAAGCCGTCGCAACCTGGAGAATTTGTTCCAGAGCCGTAAATCCCCCCGCAATGTGAAATGCAATTTGATCGGCTGTGTTCTGGATTTGAAGGAAAACAAAACAAGAATACCCACTTTATGAGTCAAATATGTATATGGATTTATTAGTCAAGTATCTGGCACTGTTTACATAAATTTACTGCTTAACAGACACTGCTTAAGAAGCTCAGAAAAGGTATTTTGGAGGACTACGGCACCCAGAGTAACCCAAGAGTAAGCACAGGCCAAAAAAGAAATTTTCCCAAATTATTCTCATAAATAATGATAATCTATATAAATAAAAATGTAATGTTCGTTTGTGGGATTAACAGAACTCAAAAACCACTGGACGAATTGACACCAAATTTGGACACAAAATACCTAACAACCCAATGTATGTCCTTCACTCAAAAAAATTGATTTTGTCATTTGGGAGTTGTAGTTGCTGGGATTTATAGTTCACCTACAATCAAAGAGCATTTTGAACCCCACCAATGATGGAATTGAACCAAACTTGGCACACAGTTCTCCCATGACCAACAGAAAATACTGGAAGGGTTTGGTGGGCAGTGTCCTTAGGTTTTGGAGTTGTAGTTCTCCTCCATCCAGAGATCACTGTGGACACAGGCAATAATGTATCTGGACCAAACTCTACACAAAATACTCAATATGCCCAAATGTGAACACTGGTGGAGTTTGGGGAAAATAGAATCTTGACATTTGGGAGTTGTAGTTGCTGGGATTTATAGTTCACCTACAATCACAGAGCATTCTGAACCCCACCAAAGATAGAATTGAGCCAAACCTCCCACACAGAACCCTCATGTGGGCCACAGCAACACGTGGCAGGGGACAGCTAGTAGTAGTAGTAATAATAATAATAATAATAATAATAATAATACTATCTCCCTGGGGGGACTCAGGGCGGTTTACGTTGGAATGAGTGAGATCCTTGAAACTCATGACTGCAAACTAAGCATCAAGATGAAACTAGAAAGACATGCCCCAAAGGTCTACATGCTGCAGAAATCCTTTTCATTTCCATTTGGCGTGCCATAAGAGCCATCTGTCTGAGAAAGGTGAGCTTGGGTGTGTGGGACTATTCGTCACACCTCTCCTTGGGCGCTAGCCAGACGGTGAGCAGCAAGAAAAGAAACCCTCCTCAATGTTTCTACTCTGTTTTGGAGAAACCTTGGCAACTGCTGGTGGGAACTACCTATAGTACCAACGGTTTCGCTGGGAAGCAAAAAGGATTCCAAGCATGAAAAGCAAAAGGGCTTTATGAGCGCACCTCCAGATTACACGCCAGGGCAACTTGCTCTCCTCAACTTACACCTAGAAGGTTTCAGCTGGGTCTTATGGTTTGTATGGCGAGCATGAAAAACCTGGGTCAGATATCAGTAATTTGGCTACGGTGCAGAGGCTGAACCACACTAGTTTGGCCTTTCATGACTTATCACCTTCCATGCCATACGGGAAGGTACCATCGTCGAAGCATGGATATGTGTGTGTTATTGTATCCAATGTATGTCCTTCCCTTTGTTATATATAAACACATCACTTAAACTTAAATATCTATATCAATAATAATGTAATGTTCGTTTGTGGGATTAACATATCTCAAAAAACACCGGACAAATTGACACCAAATGTACACATAATACACCTCTCAGGCCAACGTTCATCAATCATAAAAACACTCAAAACACAGCAAAAGAGACTTTAAAAGCCAAAAAACAAAAATTACATTACAACGCATGCACAAAACCACATATATATATGCAAACACACATATACATAAATATATACACACATATAGTAGTAATTTTATTGATTAGCCCTTGTTAGGCAATCCATCGTTGGACGAGTAAGATGGTTTTCCTTGATGACTATTTTTGTGGGTTTGTAGGTGGCTGTGGAGCCCTATTCTTGACCCGCATCTTCTCCCACAGTGAAGACATTGGTTTCCAGGTGGAAGGCGGTCCCGGTCGGGGTTGGCTTGACGCGCCTTCCTCCTGGCACGTTTCTCTCTTTCACCCTCCATTTGTGCCTCTTCAAATTCTACAGCACTGGTGGTCACAGATGACCTTCAGCTGGAACGCTCAAGGGCCAGAGCTTCCCAGTTCTCATTGTCTATGCCAGGGTTTTAAGGTTGGCTTTGGAGCGGGCCCATCTTTATATCTCTTTTCCTGCCCACCAACATTCCGTTTTCCATTCTTAAGTTCAGAGTAGAGCAACTGCTTTGGGAGATGGTGGTCAGGCATCCGGACAACGTGGCCGGTCCAGCGGAGTTGATGGCAGAGGACCATCGCTTCAATGCTGGTGGTCTTTGCTTCTTCCAGCACGCTGACGTTTGTCCTTGTCTTCCCAAGAGATTTGCAGGATTTTCCAGAGGCAGCGTTGATGGAATCGTTCCAGGAGTTGCATGTGACGTCTGTAGACAGTCCACGTTTCGTAGGCATAGAGCAGGGTTGGGAGGACAATAGCTTTATAGACAAGCACCTTGGTATCTTGGTGCTTGGTGATTAGCCCTTAGGCCATATCACAATAAGAAACAGAACAACAAGGCCTGACAAGACCCGATCATGCTCCACGTAGTAAGTTAAAATAATACACTTATAACAAGACAGTAAATAAATATGATAAGACATGATAAAAATGATAAACGGATCAAGCTGAGTATATACATCATATTTCCTTATTATACACACACACATATATACGCACACAAAACACATATACACAGACTGGGCCACAGCAATGCGTGGCAGGGACAGCTAGTATAACATAAAACTCCAAATATCTAAAATAATGAAGTAAAGCAATTCAAATAATGACATACAAATGTTTGCTAAAACATATCAAAATATCTGTATCTGAAAAAGAAAAAAAGGAGGCCATTGATTTGGTAAAGGATTGGGTGTCCCAATAAACCTTTGCCATGCTGAAAGAGACAGCTAAAATATTATTTATAGCAACCCCTTTCCTAAATATAATTGGATTGTCTTGCTTTTATGGCTCATCACTAGAGGCCCTGAATCTAGAAACGTTTAATGTGGGGTCTTGTCTTCCAGGGATTACAATATAAAGATTGTAAGTCTCAACATCAAGTTACTAAGCCAATTTTGCTTGCATCCTAACATACGCTGGGATTTCTTTTATATATATTTCTTTTGAGCAACCATGGAAACACATGACAGTAATAGCAACAGATGTCATTGCCTCCTGTGAGTTTCCTGGTCCAGAAAGGATCATTTTTAGATGTTGTCCAAGATCCCAATGGAAAGAGATGCCGAAGGTCTCAAGGCCTTGATCGATTTGGTGTTCCGTTGAGGCGCATTTGTATTCAAGAAAGAAGAGCCAAGTCCCTTGATCTCAAATTATTTATTGACTTCAACACAAACGTGGCACTCCATGGAATAAGACAACAAAACATAATATATTGTGCATACATTTATTTATTTATTTACAGTATTTATATTCTGCCCTTCTCACCCCGCAGGGGACTCAGGGTGGGTTACAATATACATATACATGGGAAACATTCAATGCCATAGACACACAACATGTATTTATGTATTTATTTATTTATTTGCAGTATTTATATTCCGCCCTTCTCACCCTGCAGGGGACTCAGGGCGGATTACAATGCACATATACATGGCAAACATTCAATGCCATAGACATACAACATATACAGACAGACACAGAGCCAATTTAACATTCCAGCTTTTCCAGCTTCATGAGGATATGCTCAATTCCAGCCACAGGGGGAGCTGCCGCTTCACCATCCACTTGTGACACCGAGTCCTTGATGGAGTACTTCCTCATTCTTATGCACACTGCTGGAAGGTTTTATAGTGTCGTACCTAAATTTCCTACTTGACAGATGCAACTCTCTTTTGGGCTGCACAGCAAGCTATGACAATAACAATGGCTTGGAAATGGATTATGGATAAGTTTGATGGAGCATCCAACCACAGTTTTTGGCTAATAATGGCCACCAGAGTGGTAATTCTTAGTAGATTTTAATTGTATTGTTTTAATGTTTTTAACTATTTATAATCATCGACTGTTTCTTTTTATTATGTAAATATTGAGGCATCAAATTGCTGCCGATTGGAAGCCGCCCTGAGTTGCCCCCCCCCCCCCCGAGGGAGTTGAGAAGGGTACGGTACAAATATCTATATAAATAAAAATGTAATGTTCATTTGTGGGATTAACATAACTCAAAAACCACCGGACGAATTGACACCAAATTTGAACACAAGACACCTATCAGGCCAACGAGTGACCATCACTCATAAAAGCACTGAAAACCATAGCAGAAGCGACTTAAAAAGCCAAAAAATAAAAATACATTACAATGCATGTGCAAAACCACATATATATATGCAAACACACATATATACACACACAAAGAACACATATACAGACTGGGCCACAGCAACACGTGGCAAGGGACGGCTAGTTCAAAATAAATAAATAAGCTTGACTATTAATGGTCACTCTGACCCAGGCTGGCTTCAAACTCATGGCTTCTTGGTCAGTAGTGATTTAATGCAGCTGGCTACTGACTAGCTGAGCCATGGGCTGGTCCAGTAAACAGTAAATATTTACAATAAACAGTAAATATGTTTACTGTTGCAGCTTAAGAGATACAGATTCCAGCTCCATTTGTGCAAATAGAATCAGAATAGAACTTGCTCCAGCCTCTGCTAGACTTCATCTAGCAATATGTGATACAATATAATCTATATAAATAAAAATGTAATGTTTGTTTGTGTGATTAACATAATCAAAAACCACTAGGCGAATTGACACCAAATTTGGACACAATACACCTCTCAGGCTAACGAGTGACCAACACTCATAAAAACATTGAAATACACAGTGGATGAGATTTAAAAAGCCAAAAAACAAACAATACAACACATGCACAAAACCACATATATACACACAAACACACATCATCATCATCATCATCATCATCTTTATTTATACCCCACCACCATCTCCCCAATGGAGACTCGGAGTGGCTTACATGAGGTCAAGCCCAAA